GTGTGTGTGTGTGTGTGGTTGATCTCGCAACTCAGGATCAAAGCCTGTTTCTTAGGGGAGGCTTCTGAATGACACCTAACTTGAAAAATGCCATGTTCGAGGAGGAAAATAAATGCAACATTAGAGGGCCATGTCAAAAACCCTGGCTCAGAGTGACTATAATTCCGAAGACCACACTGTTGAAGGGTCCTGTCCAATTTAAAAGTTTTAAAAAGCATTTAGAGTAGATTGCTTTTCTCTTCCCCAAAACTTAATCAGTTATTCTTGGCTGTAAATAAAACCAATGCTGGTACTTGAAGTTATACTTCATAATCTGGTTACTATTCTTAGGGGAAAATATTAACATGTAAAATCTTATTTGGCTATTCATAGCATGTGGAAAAAATACAGGGCAACAGGATTCTTACACACACACACACACACACACACACACACACACTTCCCTGATCACCCCTCAAACTTCTCCCCTGCCCCAAGCGTTCCATTTCATCTCTGCTTTACTGGCATGCACATCTGGATTACATAAATTTCAAGTATGGTTTTCAATATTAGTACCGCTTAGGGTTACAATACTTGACAAATCTAGAATGCTAGGATGTCAGATTGTATTAGCTTGACCAGTCACAGAAGAGAGGAGAGAGGGATGTATGACTGAGGTCCTACAATAATAAATAGGAGCTCACAGCGGGTCCATCATTTCTTGTTTAGCTGGTGCAGAGGTTTCAGAAGTGACTTAACAGACCTCAGAGCCAGGGTAGTGTTTCTCTGCAGATCTCTGTCTCCAGCCCTTAGCAGAACGGTGTGAGAAGCTGAGCAACAAGGCTGGCGGGGGGTCCAATGTCCCATGCCGAGCTCCAGGGTACAGCTCTGTGAGGATGGGCGCATTCTCCAAAGGGTCTTGTCAAAGCAATTCCACTTTGTGCCGTCCCCAAAGACAAAGTGCAGCATATGAAGGGTATTTTTCAGGATAAACCCATCACCTTGGGGTTTTCAATCTGCTCTCCAAACTTTAGTCCAATGACAACAGAGGCAGGAGCCAGCTCAGGAGACGCACTTGGCTGAGAACAGTGTGGTCAGAGGACTAAATCTAACTGCTTGGCTGTAACCCTGGTTAGTTCAGGGTCTCACATCACTGAAAGCCTGAATCTCACCTTTATTATTCAAGTTCAGTTCTTACCCCCACGAAGTCAGGTTTTAGCCTGTCATGATCCTGGTATTTCGAGAAGGTAGTGGACTGGTAAGAGAACTCTGACTACTTTATGATCAAACCTAAAAGCTTTACTTTGAGTTCTATTTTCTGGCTTATCAAAACAACCAAAACAAAAAAGATTCTCCTTTCTCCATATTCACATATCTGTAAACTTAATATTCACCTATTTGTTTGTAAACTTTGGGGTAATTCTAGAATCTCTTCCATGTTTTCCCTGGCTCCTAGAAATACTAATAGGCAAAGAGAGGTAGATCTTATACAAAGGGAAAGAGATAAAGAGGTGGAGGAAGAGGCAAGGGGGAGGGGATAGACCAGAATTAAGATGTGCTATGTACATGTACCAATTCCCACGAGGAATGTGATCTTTATTACTGCAAACAAATGCTCATGGTGAATCATCTGGCCGCCACTGGGTTAAACAATGTTAAGTGTATTTCTTTACTGCAGCATTTCTCAGAGTCTGGAATATGCAAATGTGTTATAAAATGCCAAGAAGGAAAGACAATGTAATGCATTTTCCAAGTATGTTTGGCCATGGAACTTTTCCCTGTGATGCCTTCTTACATGATGAGTGTTCTGAGAATCATTTTGGGGACTGGTTGATACTTCAGCCCTCTAGTAATCAATCATCACTTCCAACCCATTGATAAGGAAACTAAAGATGCACAATGTGCTGGCCTCTGTTTTGATATACTGAAGAAATGGCTGAGTGCCCCCAGTCCCTGTGGGTGCACAAAGGACAAAATGACACCCTCCTCTGACTTCCTGTAGCCCTGTGTAGGATCTGAGCTTGTCATCTGCATTGCTTACTGGCTTTTCCCAGTCTCCCAAACATCCGACAGCCTGCAGGAGTGGACATTTTATAGGTGCCTTTGTGGAGAGAAAAATCACTCTACATACACAATGGTGTGCTGGCATTTCCTAGTTGCAGATGGAACGGCAACTCAGAAACACTTGGGAAACATGCTCCAGGCAAGGCTTCCATCAAGCAGGCTGGGAAGACGCCCAGACACCCCAGCCCCTGTAAAGGTGCAATAGCCCTGAGAGCACGACCAGACCCTGGGGTGGGGTGGTGTCTAATGGCCTGTGAAAAGTACACACAGGGATGTAGCTCAGTGGCCCAGCGTGTGTGCACAGGTGTCCTGTGTTCTCCTCAGCATTCTAACAGTCACCAGGGAAAGCTAAACAGAAACCAGAAACCGTCATCTTTACTGCAAAATGAAACCTGAACAAATGCATGAAGTGTCTGGTTTTTGTGGTAGAATGAGCATAGCAGAAGCGCGGTTTCCTTCGCCAGTACCAGCACTGCCGTGTCCCAGAAGCCTGCCACTGCCATGCGCTTTGCGATGCCTTCTGTAATTCTCACCAGAGCCCCATGAGAAGTGTGATCTTTCATTTCACTTTGCAGATGAGGAAGTGAGGCCAGAGACATCGATGGTCCACAGACAGAGACAGGGGCAAAGCCAGGGCATGAAGCCAGATCAACCTAAGATCTGGGCTTCTGGACCGATCTATCTGTCCAGAAAATATCTATGAAGCCTTACTTTGCACTATGTACAGTGGGGGCTGGATGGCTCAGACAGAGATTCTGCTCTCAGAGAGAAAGAAGATGTTAGGACTCAAGGCCTAAGCTGGGCAAGGTGCCTGTAACCCCAGCATCAGGAGGATCGCTGATTGAGGCCAGGCTGGGCCACACAGCCAGACCCTGTCTCAAAAAATCAAAAAGAAAGATTGAAGGCCTGACATAAAAACCCCAGAAGCTACTAGCTAACATGTAAAAATGCTTTTGATAGCCAGTCACTACCCTAAATGCTTTTCATAAATAAATTAATTTTACCCTAATAAGAATCCCATGTACCAGGCAACTGTTACCCTCACTGTACAGATGAAAATACTGACTTGCAGGGAGGTTAAGAATTGGCCTGAGGTCACACACAGCAGGAAGGAGAGAGCTGGGACAGGACTCCAGTATGTGTGGGCTTCCCTGCTACCCTCCACAGCCTTGCGAAGGATGGAGGGAGGGCCTGGAGCTAAGACACAGACCAGCCCAAGTTCCAGGATGTGGCCCTCTGTGTCTGCTGGGCTTGGCCAGTTACAACAGGCAAGTCAGAGGGGACAGTGTCATGCAGTCCTCACTGCGTCCACTCAGAATGCCCTCATCTGACGCTTGCAGAGACCCAGTACTTTCCGAGCTCCAACAGCTGCCCGGGAGCTCTTTCTCTCTCTCTCTGTCAGTTCAGAAAGGCACAAGCCTAGCAGATGCATGTCCTTCTGATGCACAGGTTTAGATGTTTTGATGGACACCTGGTAGAAGTTCTCCAGGACTTTCTTACTCAGATAGGCAGATCTTGATTCCTCTCAGATCCCACATCTTCCACATGGTACTGAGGCCACACCATTCTGGGATCCTGGCTCCCAGCTCTGCACTGCCTAGAAGTCACCTCAAGTTCCCTGGTTAGCACAGCTGCCTACACCCAAGCCTACTACCGAAACCGAGGGTGTGCCTAACGTGTCCCTACAGCATCACACTCCCCATCCAGTAAGGAATCTCTGGACCTCTTCTAGGCCCTTTTATGGAGATAATCCTATAACTATCACCAATGCCTTGCCAAGCACGCTTTGAAATTCTAGCCAGCCTTTTGTGATCTCCTGCTAGGTGGGCCAGTGAGGGCCAGCATCGAAATCTTGTTTCATCAGAAAACCCTAATGATTCCCAAGAAT